GCCGCGCGAGCGGCACGGGTGGTCTCGGCGTCCCCGGCGGCACGGGCCGCCTCGGCAGCGAGGTCGCGACGAGGCCCTGCAGCGTGCGACGCCTGGTCTGCAAGGGCCGCCTCGGAAGTGGCCTCCTGCCGCACGCCCGCCGCCCGCGCCGGGGCGGCCGCCGCGCCTCCGCCGCCACGGGCAGGCGAGGGCGTCTGCCAGGCGCGCCAGAGCTCGTACGTCTCCCGTGCGATGCGCTCGGCCAGCTCCGCCTTCCTGCCCGCCCGTGGGAGTCGCAGCTCCCTGCAGACCTCCTTCAGATCGGACGCGCTGAAGCGCATGGACAGCATCACCGCCACCTTGTCCTGCTCTGGGATGCGGCCGAGGAGCCCCACGATCTTGCCCGTCGGCGTGCTCGGATCGCACGTGGCCTCGTCATGGAGGATCGTCTCGTGGATGAGCTGCACCAGCTCCTCCCTGGAGCCGCTGGCCCGCACGCGCAGGCCCACGCAGATGGCCTTGAGGCCCTCGTGCGTCTCGGCCTCCAGGGCATACTGCCGCTCCTCCGCGCTTGCACACCGCAGGGCGAAGAGCAGACCCGCGATCGCCCCGGATCCCGCCGCGATCCCGGCCACCGCGGCCGACATTGCAGGGACGGCGGCCCCCGCTCCGCCCACCGGGCCGTCGCCACGTGCCGTCCGGCACTGCGCCCCACGGCCCCGCAGGCCGCGGGCGCGCGCGCAACCCAGGCCGATCCGCCGCGAGGGGCGCCACGGGCCCTGCGCCAGCCGGGCCACGGGCGCCGGCCCCGCGGGCTGCGCGTCGCAGCCAGAGCCGGCCACACGGGCCGCACCTCCCCCGCAGCCAGCCGGGGCGCCAGCGGGACTGCCCCGAGGCCCAGCACGGGGCGGATGCCGCACAGCGCCGGGCCAGGTGAATGGCAGGGAGGGCGCCGTGGCGGAGGCTGCCGCGGCCGCCGCGGCGGGCGTGCCCGCTGCCGCAGCGGGCACTGGCAGGGGGGGCAAACTCGCGACCAGCTGGCCCATCTCCGAGTCTGGGGAGCTCGCCGGCAGGGGCCGCGGTCCTGAACCAAAAGCTACGGACCACACGCGCCATGGAACACCGCAAAGATGGCCCCTCCCGGAGAGCATCGGGCCCAGAGCTGCTCCGAGGGCACAATCCCCGCACGCGCTTTCGAGGCACGCCAGAGCGCTCCGACGATAGGGGACCCCGACCGCGATCCAATACATCCGCGCGGAGCTCCGAAAGCTTTTGGACATCGCTCCTCTCCTTCGAAGACGACTGGAGCGGGCAAGCAGCTCGCGCGCGGCGCGCCCGTGGCGAGCCGCCCGAGCCGCGGACGCTACGAAGGCGGTGCGTGCGCGGCCGCGCGGAAGCAGCCCGACACCGGGAGGGCCCGGCCCCCGCGCCCCGAGCCTGACGAACCCAGGAGGGACCCCAACGCCTTCGGGAGGGGACCTAAGTCAGAAGGGTCAGAAAACTGTAGGGATGGGGAGCTCCTCTGCAAATTGTCCCAAGACAGGCAGCCCAGAATGACGATCCCTAATGCAGGGGCGGGGCCCTCGACGAGGCCATGTCTTCACGCTGACATTCGGGTTAGGGGTTCGTTGCTTCCTCGAGGCTGTCCACCCTCCGCTCCCAGGCCTCCTTGCCATGCCCGGCGTGCAGCGTGGGGCCCGCACCGATGGGGGCGACGCCCGAAGCCGCCCCTGGACTCTGGCCCTTGCGAGAGATCCCCCTGACCTTGCCCCAGCCGCCCTGAGTCTGGGCAGAGACGCCGACGGGATCCTCTGCCGCATAGGATGTCGTCCGCTCCAGAAAGCCCGAATCCACAACTGTGGACATGTCACCTTTCGGCTGCACGCAAGAGTGACCCTGGGCAAGAGTGACCCGTGGCGCGCGGGGCGCGCGGCCTTTGGGCGGGCGCGGGGGGGCACCAGACACAAGCGCGCAAGACGCGCCCCTCGCATCGCGTTCGGCGACCTGGGGGCCCCAGTGGGCCCGCACCAGAGGTCGCTCCGGCGAAGGGTCGCTCTTACGTGTAGTCGAACAGTTGCTTCCGCCGCCCTCCGCCGAGCTTTCGCTGGCGAGCCCGCCGCTGATTTACGTTCGCCAGCTTCCGGGCCGTGGTACCCAACATCAACATTTATCCGTACGTGGTAAATTCTTCTGTGCCCCGAGGTCGGTGTACGTTTGAGTATGCTTGTTCACCTTAGATGTGGAACAACCAGCGCTGTGCCAGCGCGATTTGTTTTTTGAAAAGATGAAAGCAGTGTGGTGCAACCTATGTAGAGCAATTAATGTATGTTCGCAGTGAATTGTCCACTCCACTGCTCGCGCAAACATCCCACCCACCCACCCGCAACTTGGTTTGCAAAATCTCTCAAGACCGTGACGGTGGGTACCAAATAGCACTTGGCAACGACAGCGACGCCGACGACGACAGCGACAACGACGACGACGACGCCACCGACAACGACTACGACGACAATCGACGACGCCGACGACGTCTCCAATCGACGACGCCGACAACGACGCCGACGACGACGAAGACGACGACACCGACGACGACGACGCCGACGCCGACGACGACGACGACGATGACAACGACGATGACGACGCCGACGACGACGACAACGACGACACCGACGACGACGACGACGACTTCAACGACGCCGACGACGACGACGACGTCGGCGGCGACGACAACGACGCCGACGTCGACGACGACGAGGACGAGGACGACGACGACGCCGACGCCGACGACGACGACGGAGACGACGACGACGTCGCCAACGAAGACGACGACGAGGGAGGAGGGAGGACGACGACGGCGACAACGACGACGACGGCGACAACGACGAGGGAGGAGGGAGGACGGCGACGACGCGAGCGACGAAGAAGGAAGGACGGCGACGCCGCCGACGACAACGACGAGGGATGAGGGAAGACGACGACGACGACGACAACGACGACGGCGACGACGAAATAGGAGGGACGACGACAAGACGCCGACGACGGACGACGACGACGACGAGGGAGGAAGAGGAAGGACGACCACGGCGACAACGACGACGGAAACGACCACGACGCCAAAGAGGACGACGACGACGAACACAAGACAGAGGACGACGTAGGCGACGACGACGACGACGACGCGGGAGGAGGGAGGACAGCGACGACGACGACGACAACGCAAGAGCGCGCGCGCACGCTTTTGTTGAAAATCCGTGTTGAAAAACCTTGTGTTTTTGTAGGTTTTGGGGCACACGATTTTGAAATCCTTCCGAAACCGATGGGTTTTGAAGGGTTTCGGCGTACGCGCGCGACGACGCGCGCGTCTGCACTTCGCCTTGTTTTTTGCAGAGGATTCTCGCGACAGCACGCGCGCAAGGGCGTTCGACAGATTTCGACATGCGCGCGCGACGCCCGTATGGTAGCATGTTGCGAATATCTAGAAAAACCAATGGTTTTCCTAAGATTTCGCCAGAGCTCGCGCGTAAGCTTTTTTAACAAATCAATGTGACGAAACCGTGTTTTTGTATGTTTTTGGTGACTCGATTGCGGAATCCTTCCGGCACCGAAGGTTTTTGAACGATTCCCGCATGCGCGCGCCACGACGCGCGCGTGTGCACTTCGTCCCGTGTGCAAGCGCTATGTTAGAACAACAAAAGTCACCGCATAGTGTTTTTGAAAAAAACCTGAAAGGGGGAGACCGGTTGGTATGGGACATTGCGATTTCAAATTTAGGATGGATATGTGGTCTGAATCAAATGTGATTTACATACCCGATAGGTGAAGCAATAACGCCGGGGGGGGTAGAGTCTATTCTCTCTCAAGAAAGGAAATTGATTTTCACAAACGAATTGACG